GCCAATACAAAGTTGTGTCTCTTTTGAAAATGTTGTAAAATGTAAAGATGTAGCTGTTCCTACTTGTCTTCTAGGATTAACTTTTTTCATGCCAGTTTACTTGTTATCTAGGTAGGAGTTTTCCTGGGGAAAAGCACAGTAGTTTAGCTGTTAATCTGTAAATACCAAACCTTTGTGCTCGCATTGCATATTTAGGAATGTATTGTGATGTATGTTTTAGGAGAAAAAGTTGTCAGTCAGGTTTGCTTAGGTAGGCATGAATGCCTAATTCACTGGGAGTCAACCAGATGGAATCCCAGGTTGTATTTCCACGTTGCACAGATCCCTAATGTGGCAATCTTGTTTTTTGAACGGGTCAGGTTGCTTCGGTTCCAGGCAGTCTAGAATAAATTAAACTGAGCAGACTGAAGAAATGAGGGGAACAAAAGGGAGATTAAGTATCAAAGGTTGGCTTCCAAGACTGTAAAATTAGTATAACAATTAAAAGTTGTATAGTTTAACATCAGCTCCCCACACTTTGTCGTGGACTGCCATGCAACACACAGAGTACACAGCACAGGGGTGCAGTGAGGAGAATGATCAAAAAGAGGAAAACCAAGCACTGCTGTTTTCTCTTTTTAAAGTAACTCTTCCTGTGTACTTTCCACTGCATCACATACCATCCTATTGCTGTCGGTTTTGTGAGGGTGCTGGGTATTTTTAAAGAGGAGAAAGCTGACAAATCACTAAACCCACGTCTGGGTTCCAGAGGAAACTGCTGTCTCCGAGTCTGAGAATCCTTGCTGCTGGGGTTGGCATTCTCATGGGATGATTCCTAATAATAAACTGAGCAAGCTTTAAAAACTAAATTTAAGTAATAACCAACCGAATAAGTAATGAATGCTGAATTAATTGCTTGTTATATCAGTAGCAGTTAATTAAAATATGGGTGAAAGCTCAGAAAAACTGACAGCTACTCACTGAAATTACAAGTGTGCCACAAAGTGCTCAGTGCTGTGTATTTCTGTGGAACATGCATGGAAAGGAAATGGTTCATATGACTGATTAGCTGGCACAAGTGCTATGCACAAATGTCTCTGCTAATATTATAATCCCTGTGAAACAGTGACTAACCTTCTTAAACAGTATAATAATGGGACTATTCTGAAAAATTTCAGTAGCCTCAAGACCTACACAGATTCACAAGTTGAAAGTGTTGAACAAATAGGTATGACTCAACTCTAATTAACATATACCCAAATATGTTTGAACAGATTCAACTGTAACAGTCTTTTGTTACCTCCTATATTTGCACACCAATTTAAGGTCTGCACTTCTGGGTAAGGCCAGTAGCAATTGATCTGCAGTGAAGCGAGCAATGTACAATGTGGAGTCCCAAATGGTACACACATGTTTGGAGAAAAGGAGATTATTAATACTATTGAAATACCAATCAGAGTGCTTCAGCAGGCACCAGGCAGCTGCAAAACATTTAGGGACACCTCAGGAATTCCCTTGAGCAGAAGTGAGACAGGAAATAGTGAGAAGCTGAATAAAGTAGCTGAAGAAAATGCCTTTATTTAAAAGAGGGATGGATTCAAAAGAAGTTCAGCACATTCCAGCGCAGAAGATGTCAAAGAAAATAGATTATGAATCATCTAAAAAGGAGAGGAAATACTGAATACAGAAAACATAAATTTCAAAATTGAAATTTAAAACTTTCTTTCACATTATCTGGAACTTTGTCTTTAAAAAGTAACTTGTTAGTTGTGATGGTAATTGAGTTCAAAGGTAATCATTCCTGTGTGCTTACACAGTTATGTATGGAGAAATGCCATTTAGTCATCACATTCAATTTAGGGAACTTCACCTTACAAGTCTGTCCATAGTGATGAGCCCAATTTTTGCTCAGTGTGTTTAGTGCCTGTTCATTTTCAGAAGGAATTTGGCAATGTTTTAACAACTGCTAGTTGAGTGACTACTTTGCTAGTGTCACATTCTGAGACAGGGTAACTTTGGGACCAGAAAACGTTCTAAGCAGCAGTCCTGTAAGTGTGCTGGTGGAGCTGTAGGGTGCAGTGAGGCAGCGTGCACAGCCTGGAAGCACCAAGAGCAGAGCTGCAGGCTCTGCCATGGCAGAGTGCCGAGGAGCCAAGGCACAGGGCTGTGTAATCCCTGCGAGTACCCGGGACTGCAAGGTGCTGGAAGTCATCTTGAACGAGCATCCAGCAACTGCTGAGAGTGTGAGCTCCCGGTGTGCTGATCTGGCATCCTCGTGGCAAGTGTGAGTGGGTCACTTGCCAAGAAACAGCCATGCTTTGGGGTTTTTTCAGCTTTTACCCACAGAAGCAGGCAGGGTGTGTGGGATGGTGCCTTTAAACAGGAGGGCTGGAAGCTGAAACCAGAACATTCCGTGGCAACTGGAGAAAGTTCTGAGCAAAGTGCTGTGAGAGAGGCAGGACCCCCCTCCCCCTGCCTAGAGGAGAGACAAAGAACAGGCGAGGAGGGAACTGAAATAGGAAGCAGGAACCATGTCAGGAGGCTGGGGGCTAAAAGAAAGCAAATTAATAAACCACTGGGGGAAAGGCACACAACTGTCCAAAGCCACTAGGAAAGATAAGCAAATTCCAGATTCTTTAACTGCTCCATGTCTGTGTGTGCTTGCAGCCTGGCCAGTGAGTTAAACACAATCATTTTCCTCACTGTAGCAAGTACAACTTGTGTGTCAGACTTAAGAGAATACGAGCACTGTTACTACATAATAGGGTGTACTTAAGCTGGGTTTGTCAGCATTGCTACCACTCCACCCCGAATTTCTCACAGTGTATGTTCATATCAGGGTGTTCATACACATAGTGCAGTAATAAAAAGTTACTGGTTATATTCTGACTGCAGCAGAGACAAACAGTTCCTATCGAAAGCAGAAGAAATCTGGTGTACAGGCTGAGGGCACTGTGTGGCCTTAAGTGTTAATGTAATATTTTGAAAGTTGGAAGCTTGGTGCGCTCATTTGCACATCAGTACCCAGAATGCTTTTTCAGTTCCACCACTATTTAATTCAAGTGCTGGGTTTGAGCTTTTGGAAGGCTCTGTAGTTTGTGATGCCCTCACATGAGCCAAGTTCACTATTTTCCACAGAATAGTTTAAGTGACAATATTAGATCGTGAATAGGTGGTCCAAGCATTCTTAATTAAGCTTGATGTTA